ACTTCCAAGTTGCATATATATATATCCCTATTTTATCTTCCCACTTCATTGTTTAAAAAGGCGCCTTCCAATACATGTGCAGCACTGAATTTGTGATCTTCTCTGGTCTGATCAGCTACTGAGTATCCATGAGAGGCACAAGCCATATATTCAGTTGTGAAACGCAGAAAACTGAAGAGTCCTTGAATCCTCCTTCATCCTTAGCTGCATAGACAGTCTAGCGCCAAATCCTGTTGATTTCATCTACCAAATCTGACAGTATTTCTCTAGATCAGTGATTCTCCAAGTGCAGTCTACAAACTACCAATGTTGGCACCTTCGGGGAACTTGTCAGAAATGCAGATTCCCAGGCCGGTAGCTTCAGACCTATTAAATAAATCAAAGGGTCCCAGAAATCTGCATTTTAATGAGCCCTCCAGGGGACTGGAAATCCACAACAGTTTTGAGAACCACTGCCCTACACCCACAGCCCCTCTGCTGTTAACGTGAATCGAACCCATCATTTCTTATCTGGGCGACTGTAGTGGCTTTGCAATTATTCCTTCCCACATCCAAGTAAAGCCTCCTTCTAGGGTGACTGTCAACCCTGGCAGATATTATAAGCTACCAGGATCCACTTTAAACCAACTAAATCCGAATCTCTGGGGTTGGGGCCCCGGGCTTTTGTATTGTTCAAAGGCTGTACTTTGAAGGCCAAGACTGAGAACTCTACATTAATCCATCCTAACTGGCAGCCAGATTGATTTTTTAGAAATGCAAATCTGGTCTTAAAATTACCCCCACATAAACCCGGCCAGAATCAAGCCCACATTCCTAACACCTACAAGGCAGGCAAGTGATCGCCCCTGCACTAAAAGACACACACCACACTGGTCTTCTGGCTGATGCAGGACCCGGCAAATTCCCCCGATTGTGGGGGAAACTCAAGCTCTGCACTGAGAGAGCACAAGGTTCTTGGTAGAGCATAAGAAAAAAATTCAAACTCACGCCAAAACTGGAGTCAAAAAGAGAAAGGGAAATGCAAAAACAAGAGTAAGAAAAGACAAAAAAGCCTAGACAAGGGGAAAGACCCTCAGTGCTGGGAGTCCAGTTTATATACCATTCTTTAGTTTCTGTGAGTTCGTTCAGAGTTTGTGTGCCCATTTTCCTTTGATATGGACATACAATGAGGAAGGATAAGATTATGTGGTGTTAAAAGGTAAGAATATGTAGTATTAAAGGCCTGCTGGCAATTCCCAGTCTGTGATCCACAGGTTCCCCATGGTTTTAGCCTTAGGGAATGAATGATTTTAATTTGTGCAGGGCGCCACTTAAAGATTCTATTTTTCCTGTTTTCCCTTCAGGGTGTGGGGAAATGGGTTGTTAGCAATTCCAGCAGAAATCTTCCTTTGTTCTGTGGGTTTCCTTGTGGTCTGGCTGCAGGCTGATCAGTAAATAGCAGTCTCTGAATTCTTCTTGATTTAACACTTTAGTTCTCTTGTCCCCTCCCTATCCGGGCAGGCTCCTTGCTTTCTCTTCTTTGAGAGTTTTGCACTTGCTGCTTGCTCTCTTGGCCTAAATTGCTGTCTTACCCCTTTTGCCTGCTCATCCTTATTCATTCTGTAGATCTCAGTTCCATCTTCCCTTCCACAGGAAAGTCTTCTCCAACCTCCTTTGTCACCGGTGGAGTGGGCTGGGGAGAATCCTGATATCCCACTTTGCCTAGGAAGTTCTGATATGTGGACTTAGGGCTTATGAATTTCTTTATTTACAATTTTAGATTTATTTGTGATTATTTAATTCTTGTCCATCTTCCTCACTGGATTATAAACTCCTACAGTTTGACACAAAGGTCATATTAACAAATATTTCTTGAACAACTTTTTGACGTGGGCACTAATTAGCATTCCCATTTATATATGGGAAAATTAAGTCTAGAGAGCTTAAGCATCTTGCCCAGGTCACACAGCTAGCAAACAGTGTGGCTGGAATTCGAACCTAGGTCAGGGATTTTTCAACATCATAGCCACCAAACTGTGCTGGAGGAGTAATTTCTACTGAGTGCCTGAGTTTCCACAGTAGACCAAGATTAAGTTTTGCTTGGTTCTTATTAGAACCGAGCTCAGCTTGAAGATTATACATTTATTTCCTTGACATTGAAATTGCAATCTGCTCTAAGGAAATGAAGTTTCTAGCTCTCTCAGTATAAAGGGCAAATGTGTGGGAGAAGCCAAAGATCAAACGGTCAAGTATACTTGTTACAGAATTTTTCATGAGCTGAATTCAAATGCTATCAGTGGAGCAGCTCTCTCTTGAATTTGAAAGAGTGAGAACAAAGGGTGAGGGGAAAGGCAGCTGCTGGTTTGTAATCAGGAGCCAAATGGAACGGTCCAGGCCTGGGAACATGAAGTAGATAGATACAGCCTAGGACTAAGACATAATGTCACAAGAGAAGCTAAGAAGCTGCTTCTCCCTCAGCTCAAACACAGGAGAAACACATCTTTCTCCAAAGTTTATCAGAGGATCCCCTCTACTTATACCAGCTGCCCTTCCTCTTTCTGCCATAAGACTGAGTTAAAACTCCAGGAGGTCATTTTGCCTCTTGGATTCTCAGTTTTCTCCTATGAAAAATGAGGAAGTTCAACTTAGAAGACTTTGAAAGATGCTCTCAGTTCTAAAATTCTATGGTTCTATGACCCACAGCCAATGCTGTTAGGATTGACTCCAAAAAGATAGGAATACACATGGATATCTGTAACAATCCCCTTTTCAAAATCAGAAAAAGGATGGCCTATTTATGCTATTCCTCAACCCCTACTGCATCTGATTCATGAAAAAAAAAAGTGCTTTAGGTCACGTCCAGCCTGCTTTGAAGTCTAAATTGAAACATTAAGTTCAAAGCAAAATAAATCCAAAGCAGAGTGAATGGCACTAATCTAACAATTCCCAAAAGTGATGTAAACTAAAATATTATTACAGAAACACAAACATTTAACAGGGAAAAAAATTGGTAACAATTTTTAAAAAATAATTTCATTTGCTTGCATTAGAATAAATCGTGTACAATTTCAGAAAATCAGAATAAACCCGGATTGCAGTTACCATTCATGAAACACAGTGTATTTAATCTATATTTTACAGTCGTATCAAAACATTTTTATAAGGTTTATATCACCACTAGAAATGAGTAGCTCTGAGGCAGGACCAGCTAGAAAACTGAGATGAATTCAGCTCTGAGGTGCCTTGGCTCATGCTGTTTACTTTGTCTAGAATGGTCATTCCCCAAACTTTACCTAAAGAACTTCTGCCATTTCTTTCACCCTGTCACCAACCTGAGAAGCAGTTTTAAAAGATGGCTCCCAGATTCTTTGACCTTCCTCCTTTCAAAACATAGTCTATGTTCCCTCCCCTTAAATTTGGGCTCTATAACTTCTCAACAAATAGAATATGATAGAAGTGATGTTGTGCCAGTTTTCAGATTCAGGCTTTAAGAAACTGGCAGTATTTACTTTCTGACTTGGAAACCAGCCACCATGCTGTGAGGAAGCCAAACAGCCACATGTAAAGGCCATGTGTAGGTGATCCAGCTGACAGTCACAGCTGAGGTCTCAGTTTACAGCCAGCATCAACTGCCAGACACAGGAGTGATCAAGCTCTCAGACGATTCTGGTCCCCAGTTTTTGAGCTGCCCCAGCTGACACCACATGGTGTAGAAATAAGCTATTCCCATCCAACCCTTTCTAAATTCCAGCTTCATGAGCAGATTAAGTTGATTGTTATTCTCAGTCCCTAAATTTGGAGTGGTTTGTTATGTAGCAATGGGTAACAAGGACAGAAGACTTCCTTAAATCCTCTCACCCCTGCCACAACCACCATTGCCATCAGTATGATAGTCATGAGGGCAGTTCACAATTATTTCCATTCTCTCCTCCTTCTGGGTACAAGACAGAAATGCAGTTCCCACCTACTTTGAATGTAGGCATGCTCACATGATAGATTATGGCCTATGGCATGTGACTGAAAATTATATGTGCCAATTCTGGGCAGAAGCTTTAAAAATCTGTGCAATCTACCAAGCTCCCTTCCCCTGTCACTGTGTTGGAAGCCCTCACAGAAATGAATCTCCCATCAGCTAGATTCCCTGATGGGACTAGGACAAGCAGGGCTGCATTGTCAACCCATGCTGGACATACAGCCTGAAAAAAAAAAAAAAATTATTTGTTGAGTTAAGCCACTGAGATTTTTTTCAAATAATTTATTACCAGCATATGACCAGGCTTTTCAATGGTAGCACTACTGATACTTTAGGTTAGATAATTCTTTGTTGGGCATACTATCCTTTGCATTGTAGGATATTCAGCAGCTTCCTGGCCTCTATCCACTAGATGCCAATAGCACCACCGCCTCCAGTTGAGTCAACCAAAAATGTCTCCCAATATTGCCAAATGTCCCTTAGATGGGGCCCCACTTTAGAATCATTTACCTAGATGACTCCAACTAATACAACCATCACCGGGCAGAATGAAGTGCTTCCTCTTCACACTTTGAAAGCCCTTCATAGACATTTTTCTATAGTACTTCTATTATCTACAACATTGAATTACAGTCAGTTCCTTGGACTCTGTCACCCTGAAGACTGTGACGGCAGGTGGAAAAGTAGAACAAGAGCAATGATCTACCTAGAGCTTGAGTTTTCTGTTAGCAGTGTGCCAAGTGAGGTGGCTGGAACTCACAGTCTCCCCCAGCAAGGTGACCCAGTTCAGGGCCACCACAAATGGTTGTGCGGTGCACAGATGGCACGACAGTACCCAACCACAGGGATAAGTGGTGACTGAGATTCGTCCCACTCTGCTCACTATGCTGCCTCCATGCAGAGGGAGGGAGTTCTTCTCAGTTATCTGTCTGAAGAAGAGCCTTTATAAAAACTTCACTCCAAGGCCAGCAGCTGGTCTGACCCAGGTTGTGGGAGAATCTGGGATACATCCACACAGAACAGGATGAGAAAATCAAAGCTGTCCTACCTGATGTTCACACAGGGATTCACTTTGTCCTGAATCTTGGAAAGACTTGGAAGGCTATTTCAAGACACTGGACAAAAGTAAGTAAAAGAGACTCAAGTTAAGACTGTCCAGTTTGAAAATAAACACAGTGAAAAGTTAAGTCTCCTTCCTACTCCTGATCCCTAACATTCCCTCCCAGGGCCAGGCATTGTCATTAGTTTCCTCTGTGGCCTTCCAGAGGAACACCAGGATAGATATATACTGTATACACTGTATGTATATCTATCTACATATGCAGTGATATGCATATATAGGACTTCCTCTCTTTTTAAAACACAAGTGTTAGCATACTTTACACATTGTTCTGAATCTTCCTTTTAAATTTAAACACGCATCTTAAACACTGTGCCTTATCATTACATGCCTCATTATTTTAAAGGCACAAATTTCATTTTATGGATTGATATACTGTACATACTCTGTATCGATGGACATCTAAGTAGTCACCAACCTTTTGCTATTAAAATCACTGCTTAAACCAATAATTTAGGACATTAAAAAAAAAAAAAAAGACTGTCTAGTTCGTGTCAGATAAATTTTAGCAAGATTCCCTAAAATTGGTTATTTATCTGAATCAAACTAGATCTCAATTAAATAACCCCAAATCCCCAAGCCCTAGTGTGGGCCTGTGTGACTCTCTAATCTATGTAAATTAAGTACCAATTAGAACCATTTATTAAAGTTTCCATGTAAAATGCCAGCTAAACTGTATACATTAGTGCTGTTGAAATTAGCCCTTGTGTAAATTATTTCCAAAAGCACACAGCCAGTAGGAATCTCTGCAATTGCTGTTTATGATATTTCCTTCTGGTTTTGCTCAAGTGGCACTTCTGGATGTTGTAAATTAGCTACCAAAGTCACACAGTACAGGGTGGTGACATGGTCAGTGGAAGTCCAATATCAATACAGGCAAGCCCCAGAGTGCATGGTGATTCCTCATACCCGCTACTGATGCCTCCACCACTCTGCACTCACCAGTATCACTTTTTGCTTCCCTTTTCTTCTTATATTGTCTTTTCCTCTTTTGCTTACTCTCTTCATTATCACTATCAATTCAAAACATAGCCCCAATCGTGATTGACAGGCATCAGAGAAGTCTCAGTGATACTCATCTATCAAGAAAAAGAACAACAATTTTTAAATTGAAATGCACGTGAAGTCCCCAGATGCCCCCTTTAAAAACTCCACTCACCTCTACCTAAACCTATCTTCCTCAAGAGGCCAAGTTAACGATAATCTACTACTTATTAATAATGCTCTGCAGCAACATTCACAACAATGTTTTGTCATTTTCCACTGCTTGACTGACATTATGCTTTTTTCATGCAGCCTTCTTGGCTTGGAATGACATGCTTTCAATTTCTTGCCTTTGAAAAACCTCTTTGTCATGTAAGCCCTTGCAGAATGAATTGTTCCTTCCTCTGTACCCCTCCATCAAATTGCTTTCATTGCTATTTAACACCTATTTCATTTTGTCTTGCATTATTTGTATTTGTCTTTTCTCCTTAGCCTCCAAGGCTCTTGAGAGACTGAGCCCTGTTAACATTTGTGAACCTCTTTGCTGGGAGCACATCTGTCTGGCACATGGTAAATGAACATGAAATATATAGTGAAATGAAAATAGGCTTCTGTGGGTTGGACTAGGAACCTAAAGTTCACTCGAGAAGTTAGTTATCTTTCTCCAAAAATGCATTGGTTTTCAAACAATTAACTTATTGGTTTATTTATATCCTACTTTATTCAATAATAATTTCAGGCAGCCTATAGATACTTTCGCAATTTTTTTTTTATAGTGGCATATTTTGTAAACTTAACTCAGGATTAAAGATCAACGTCAAGGAGAATGGAAGAGCCCAGATATGTGGGCTATAGAATCTAACATAGCCATAAATTTAGGCTACAATTTTGGCTCTGAGCTTCCTGACAGCCAAAGCACAAAGGAAAATATGTTCAATTACATGCTTCTCATTGTCCAGAAGGAGAAAACATACCATTACTTGGGGGAAGCAAAATTCTCCTGGCACTGAGTTCTGAAACAAAACCTCTTATATAAGATTTCTCACAGAGGATACTGAATAAGCACACATTGACTCTTAGTTGGAATTTTGGTGCATAATTTGTTCCTCAGACTGTTAATGAAGGGTCAAGGGCCAAGGTTATTAATAAGTAAACCAATGCAACACCTAACATAACATCCTATTTTGCTGCTGTCATTGGTTTTGTTTGTTTGTTTTTAATAAAAATAAAGACATTTATGTTTCTGCTTTGTAGTAATTTTGAATAGGGAATTATAGATCATTGACTCAATATTTCTGAGGTTTAACAAGAATATTTAAAAAGGGTGTTCAATAACTTGCATTTAATCATTAAACCAAAGAGATTACTAAAATAGAAATAAATTAAAACTCTAATATGAAAAACTCAAGATTTTCAAAATCAATAACTTCATTGAATTTTAGTTTCCTCATACTTTGAAGCAGCAATTCCAGAAAATAAGGATTCTATTTGGTAAATAAGCATACAATTAGGGAAGGCAGAGGCCAACAAGAAGCGGGGAAGAGGAATTTAAAAAGATTAGTCAACCTCTTTGGAAGCTTCCAAGGGGGCTATTTGGGGGCTATTTGTCTCATTGTCAGAAGTAAATCAGCCCTTGGATAGTAACTAAAATCCCCAGTTAATATACAGGGTGCTTATCCAAGCCAAGATCAACTGTGCTTTAAAT